GAGGTGACTCCTATTTAAAGCTAATACCAGGTTGTAAGTTCTTCTGGTCTTGGTTAGGGGTTGCCTCAGTTTAGCAGCTGTTCTCTCTCACATGTGCAAATTGTTGACCTTTGAGCCTGACGCCCTCCTCACCCTTGGGGTGAATGGTGCCTGGTACCTGCTCTGTGTGTGCGCGCGCGTGTGTGTGTGTGTGTGTGCTCTGGGTTTACACAACTGAAAAAATGGTGCTACTGTAAATCAGATTATGGCTTCGTGGAAACGTTCATTTTCACAGTCTACTGTGCCACTGCCAGTGTAAATCTGTCCACATCTGAAGGGAAAACACATTTTAGCCTCACTTGTCAGCTTAGGGGTTAGTACTGACAATTAACAGATCACTTTTATTAAAGATGAAATATTTGAACCCTATAAGCTTAATCCGGCTTATCATGAAATCCCTTTTTTTGTAGTAAAAACGCTAAGTAATACTGCCTCAGTGAAAAACTAGCATGGTGTTGTGTTCCAATTAGAGCTGTACAATTTAATCCAATTAGCATTTAAGCTTCACTTCTGGTCACAAAAACAACATTGTTGACCAAATAATTTTTATTTTGCTTCCTAACGCAATGTGTAATTCGGTTAGCTAAAATGTGATTTCAAATTATCATTATGATTGTTTCCATATCTGATCAGATATTTAGACTTGTGTGATGTTGGTTTGAAGTAGGGCTGCATGATATTAGGAAAACCTGCGATATTCGATAACAGTGATTAATATTGCGATGACGATATTATTTGCGATAAATAAAAACTTAACTCAGGAACAAAAATAATCGAAAACAAAAATAAAAAAAGTCATCAAAATGAAAAAAGCAAAAGATGCGAGGAAAGGGAAAAGAAAATGAAGAAGAAAAGGCAATCAGTAGATCCCGGGAAAAGCAGAATCAGCAAAAAGAACAGAACAAAGCTAACTCAGGTGTTTGCTAACCATCTAAATGAAGTGCCGTCCACCTCAGGGGCGGGAATCTAACCTATGAGAACCCACCCATTTGAAAGCTCTATTTTATTTGTTAAAAAATCATCATGCTTCCGTTTGATTGACAGAATGCATTATGTGTAACAAACATTTGAGCTGACCATTGGAATATTCATCTGTTCTTTGCGATATGCATATTGTGCATGCTGATATCACGATAACGATATATTTACGATATATTGTGCAGCCCTAGTTTGAAGTACTTTTTTTCCCCATTAAACCAAATAAAACAAATTTGAACAAGAAGGAAGATTTCTACTTTGCTAAAAAGTTGTAAACATAGTGGTTAATGTTTCTTTTCTGTGTTTAAATCAGGATGTATTTTAGCCTTGAAGAGCAAGTCACCCCCACCAGAGTCTTACTCCGCCCACATTTTCTGCATTTGAAGAGAAGGTGGAGCTGCGGCCTTGATACAGTCTGGACCCTGCGTGTGCGCGTTGATTCCCTGCCTGCTAACAAATGCGCACACACAGACACGCCCCATTTGATCGGCTCGCTTCCTAGTCGCTGGTGTGTGTGTGTGTGTGTGTGTGTGTGTGTGTGTGTGTTTGTATAAATGAGTGCACAGAGTGCCAAACATCCCAGAGGAGGTAAATACTAGGAGGATAAATTCCTAGGTATATTCTTGTCTTCCTTACCCCCTCCCCCGTTCTTTTCTCTGAGGAAATCTATGTAAACACGGCCATGATTCCGCCGGCGCCATCTTAGACCTGACATCATTAAAGTAGCAGGTGTCCTTTTGGCTGCTATCGTTTTAAATCTTCTCATTTGTTTCCATTAAATACCTCTGCATGCCTCTGGTTTTACTTCAGTGAAAGTGCTGTTTGAAGAAAACGTGGCGAAGCTCCGGAAAGGTCCTTTCTGTCATTCTGAGAAGAGGAAGTCATGCTTTCTTCTTATCACAGCATGTCAGAGTCCATGTGTACTTGTTCCCATCTCCTAACCCTTTTCATTGTCGTGTTTTTGAACAAGGGGTATTTACTTCACTGGTAAATTCAGCGCTTTGTGATTTATATCTGTGAAAGGCGCTATATAAATAAACTTTTACTTACTTTACTTACTTACTTTACATCCCCAGGACCTCTGACCTACATACTCCGCTTCGCCTCTCAACTCTAGAACTCCAAGTTCAAACCAGCCTGTTTACATGTTCCTGGATCTGTTTTTGTCAATCTTGACCCACTTGTGCTTTGTTGATGCAGAGCTTCCAGAGAACTGGACTGACACGAGGGAAACCATTTTAGAGGGAATGACCTTTAACCTTTCTCACATTGGCATGACGCTTGTGGACCAACCCAAGGGAGAGGAACTGTCTGCAGCTGCTGTAAAGAGAATTGTTGCCACGGTCAGAGAAACGTGTCATTTTTGCTGTGATTTCATGCAACAAGATGTCTTCTCGCTAAGAATCTGAAATAACATGTTTCTAAAGGTTTATGAAATACCGTAGCAGATCTAGCCAGCGTTGGAGATCAGAGCTGTTTTAAGATGGCACCAGTACACATTGGTCTTAGCTGCATCCAGACTAGGTGCCAGCTCCTCTGGGCTGCCATACCTGGAAGCCATTTCTCCAAACGGAGGTCATTCTGGGAGCTATCTACAATAGTAATTATTAAAAACGTCTACACACATGTCATCATGGCCGGAACAAATAACTTTAAATCTAGTTTTTATCTTTCAACAACCGTAACTTTTTATCTAACCAGGAAAACTGGTAACAGTGCTGCAATGATTATTTTTCTTGAATGGTGAAGGCGGAGTTTTGGAGCCTAACTGGACCAACCTGTCTACACATCCATCAGTTTTATGTCTTCTTTGTCCTGTGAAAGGTTGGGGTTGTTGGGTTCACAATGATTACCAGGTCACTAGTCCGTAGGGTTCCAGTTGCTCTAGTCACCATGGTGAAAAAAGAAAACTAGAGGTAATTTTGTCCTAGTGTTCTCCTTAATTGGGTAAACTAGACTGTAAAGCTGATCATAAGTGGTGGCGAGAGAACTTAGGCTTGTTGTTCATTTTATTTTTCTCTTTTATTCATTTTATCATTTAAAGCTCCATTTACAATTTTGATCTACATTTATAACTAGCATTGGGGACTGCATTTATCAACATTTTTAGTCAATTTCTTCAGCATCAACCCTATCCATCGCAAACAAAAGCATCTCATGGTAACAATCAAATGTTTACAAATTAATAATATAACTTTAAATCTCCTGATCATTTCTTTTATCTGATAGCACCATCTAGTGGCTGACAAATGTATTGCACCAAGCCGTGGTTTGCACTTCCGTATTTATGGTGTCAGTACCAGATCGGCTCGGGGTCCTGCGTCTGCCAATTTCGTCGAAGTAGATGATTGGTTGAGCATAAGACTAAGGGAAGTTACGGTACCGTGTTCGTAAAAGTTACTTTAGCACGTTGACAATGAAGATTTTTGTTGGTCAGAACAAATTTACAGTTGTAGTGTTATTTATTGTAGTCCTGTAGTCCAAAAATCAACACTTTTCATAGAAATTGTGTTGGAATTTCCAAAGGAAATGTAAAATTCAAGCAAAGATATCAACTGATAAACGGTGACCCACAAAAGCTCTTGATTTTGATGAAAATAAAAATAAAATAAAAGAACTTTATTGAAAAGACAGCAAGCAACATTTTGAACAACACATTCTCACACCCGAAGCGGCTTAAAATGACGATGGGTGACCTAGCGATTGTTTCCGATGGGAGGCGACGCACTGCACCAGAGCGTCACTTTCCGACACCCGCGGTAAAACAGAGATTTTAGCCAAATCTGACCTTTACCCTCTTGCTATTTAACCTTCCCCTCACCCCCATCCTAACCTTAACCCACTTGCGCATGTTAAACTTTGTTTCTTGTTGTATCGTTCCTCTCAAATACGTTTAACGGGAAATTTAGAAAGAGAAACTGGGTTAAGGTTAGGATGGGGGTGAGGGGATGATTAAATTGCAAGAGAGTAAAGGTCACAATTCGGTGAAATTTCCATTTTACTGCAGGCACCGTAAAGTGCCTCCCGACAACAAACGCTTGGTCACCCTTCGTCAGTTTTAGTCGCTTCGGGTGTGAGAATGTGTTGGGATGGGGGCGGGCTTAGCAAAAAAAAAGACGAATTGCCTTCATTATTTCACAAAACATTATAAAACAATCACTTTTACAGATTTCTAATAAATCATACATAATTCCTGAAAAGGGTGAACTTTGTATTACAAATACATCTTTTGCAGGCTAAAGCCAGCAGGAAGAAGCCCCAGAAGGTTGCTTTCAAGGTATCTCCTCAGGGAATTGTGACACTTGACAGGTCTACCAACAAGCTCCTAGAAAATGTCTCCATATACAGGTTTGGTCAGATTATTCTCTAAAGCTGCATTTAATTACGCTGTTGCATCACAAGTGCTGCTTGTTTCCCCTGTCACTCACAGAATATCCTACTGCACAGTGGACAAGCTGCATGATAAAGTCTTTGCTTATATCGCTCAAAACACCTTCAATGGGACCCTGGAGTGCCACGCCTACCTCTGCTCCAAGAGAAAAGTGGTGAGTTTTTGAGGTTTTGAGCTTTGGCTGAACGTCGGAATTATGATCAAACACTAAGTTCCCTATATTAATTATATTTGCAAAATATTGAATGCAAAAGAAGCTGCAGTGATCCATCAGTTAAAGGTGGACGATATGCCAAAAATGGATGATAAAAGTTATGTAATAAAGTATTTGGGGGGAAAAATGAAAAGATGTTTGTGGGTTGCCGATGATTATGTTTAAAAGCTTTAAAAGAATGGTTCACTGGTTTAATCAATACATTTGCAGTGGTCTCTAGTAGAAATGAATGCCTTGCAGGCAGTAATCGGGGCATAAATAAGCCCACAAACCCCTGCCTCAGCAGGGCCAAGTCTGCAACATCACAACTGAGCTTCAGACGACAGGTTTTGGAGTCTTATTTCCTGATTGGACAATAGCAACGCAACTCTACCACTGACTTGCAATATGGACGTTTTATCTCTACAAATAACATGAGCTTGGAGGACCTTCTGCTGTGAGATGAAGTTGCTAATGCTAACGCAGGGCTGCCAACCTTTCCATGTGTGAGAGCTGGGACCACTTCACCCTTGTCAGCTGTTCATGAGGTGTGTGAGAATCTCAACCGCAGAGCGACTTCTATGCCGTGCTCCTTGCTAGACTTGCAAGATCACAAAATTCCTTTAGACTTCCGCCATCCTCCTCCCAGAAGGAAAATCACTTTTGATGTCATACATGATTTTCCTTCCCACTGCCAGGATTAAAGTCATGAAAAACCCACAGCTGCACTTCTGGAACCATGCAGGGAGTAAAATAAGCTGTTAGGTCACTTGTATTGACGTAACCTACATAGATATGAAATTGCATCGCTGCAATTGCCTTTTATTTTGAAAATTACCAGGGTTTCACACTAAAATCATATGTAATTTTCCTGTATAGCCCTATGTTAACTGTGGAAAATTGTCTTGTTCCAGAAGTGGCTTGTGGAAAAATAATCTGATCAAATCATTATGGGAGCAGTGTGGCTTGCCGCTTCCGGGACATGCCTGAAAAATTCTGCGTTGTGGCTAGTTTGCATCACCCCCATTGTCCATCACGGATTCTAATCTGAAGCAGTGCTGTTCTGCGCTGCTGATGCTTCCAGTGTGACGTAGGGGTTAGGCTCCCTATATCTTATATGAAATGTGACTGAATAACCAGGTCTAGTAAACACTCAGACATCTGTGTTTTTCTCCCTTTTTCCAGGCTCAAGCGGTTGCTTTGACCGTAGCTCAGGCCTTCACTGTAGCATTCGAACTGTGGCAGGTGGCCAAAGAAGGTAGGAATCACTACAAGTGAGCTCATAAAGATTTGATACTTGTTATGTACTAAACATGGTCACAACCTAGGCATGCTAAGACATCCTGGCTATTCTTTCTTTTCTTTGTTTAAGAAAAAGGGGGAAGAGTGAAGTCTGGCTCTGCAGGAGATGCAAGCAGCAGTTGCCACTCAGAGAGATCGAACAGCTCAGTTAGTCTGAAAAGGACTGGTGAGAATATAACCTTAGTCACATTTTTTCTTCTTCTTCTTCTTCTTCTTCTTCTTCTTCTTCTTCTTCTTCTTCTTCTTCTTCTCCTTTAGATGTTGCTACACAGAACCTGTTAGACTTGGAGGACAGTGTGAACAAGGTGGTGGAGAGCACTGGGGATGTAGAAAACAATCAGCCAGATAATCAGAGAGCCTCTGAGACCAACAACAACCCTGCCCTGGTACCATTATCTCATCTGCTGGTTTTTATCTTTCTGTTGTACAAACAGAAAAATGAGGCAGTGATCGTCTTCTTTTTTTTCCAAGCTCACATCAGAGAGTGCAGTAAGATCCTTTTTCTTCCACGGAGAACAAGACCGTTTGGACGAAGCCTTCTCCAGGTGAATAATGTCAAATCAACTCTCGTAGATGTCCTACCTCCTATAAATTAAGCCTATCTAATCTTTCAGCACAATGTTGTTTCTCTCTGCCCGACCTCACAGTGCCACTCACTGGTCATTTATGTTTATTGCAGCTCACACACCTCCCAGTCACTGCTTTCTTTCTTATTTTGAATGAAATAAAAATAAAAACAGGTGATTATATTTCATGATCTAGTGCGATGAGTAATAATTTCATGGCTAAACGTGAACTTTTGCTCAGTCTGCTGTGTGTTTGTGTCTCCAGCTGTGCCCTGGATAGCTATGGTTCATTTCCAGGTAACGTTCAGCATTGCTGTCAACCGTGGCTTAGTGGGATAGCTCTAATCACTAACCTAACTCTCAGTCTGTTCTATTTAATCACTACCAAAGCCAATAACACTGGTTCCAGGTCAGTGATGTCAGCCAGTAGTATATATTAGAGCTAGCCTAGTGAACTAGACCAAATTCTTGCTTTGCAAAGTTTGGTCTAGGCACGCTTCATAGAGCTCCGGACCCCACGTGACTCTCAGTTAGTGGACGCCATTTTGGCATGCAAAAAAGGTAAACAAACACGGATGTAACCATGAACATGAACGGGATCCGCTTGGATTTTACTTCGTCGGAGTTTACTTCACACTTTAAAACAGAAGAAATCGTTTTATATAGTCAGAAATTAAATAGACTAAACATCTCCGACCCTTACCGTGCCCCTGGGATACTTTTTAAAAACGCCAGAAGTCGTAGCGGACTTCTTACCGGCACAACACCGGACCTGGCCGGGGAAACCCCTTGGGATTCCCCCGGCCGGAGGAGCTGGGGAGAAGGTCTGGGACTCTCGACTCTACTGCCCGCTCCGACGCCAGAAGCTGTCGGAGCGGACCGGCACAGCACCGGACCTGACCGGGGAACCCCTTGGGATTTACCCGGAGGAGCTGGCTCCGGCGGCTGGGGAGAGGGAAGTCACGCTACTGCCCCAGCAACCCGACTCCGGATACGCGGATGAAAATGGATGGATGGACGGACAAATAACAGATTTACATGTAAGTAGTCTCGGTGACACAGATAATAGCAATCCAAAGTGCTTTTTATGTGTGATCTGATCAACCATTGCTTAAAAATTAAATATGGCTTAGCCGGTTAATTGCTGTCATCATAAAACACGTAAACGGCAGCACGCAGAACTCACGAGGCAACGTTCTACGTGATGTTTACTTGCTGCTATGAGTAATAAGACAGAAAAAGCCACGCCAAAATAAGTTTAGGAAGCCCACTAAGAATCATAATAAAAGCATTTAAAATAAATACCATACACAGTTGAGGAAACGTTGGTTCAAGTACCTGATATGAAGCGGTCGCTGCATAAGCGAAAACCTTTACTCTCGGGATCCCACAGCTTCATTTTCGCCCGGTCACTAGCATGTTTTATTACAATGATCCAACGTTTGCGGCGCTCCGGATCTTGGGGAATCCTGTAGATGTCTCATTCCTTATGTCGTCCGCGTCTGTTCTGCATCCTGGGGCACAACAGGAATCTACCATATTTCCCGTTTGATTGAGTTTTCTGACAATAGTAAATAGTCCAGCTGCCGGCTTCTGCATGCCAATATGGCGCCGTTTCGATTTGAACTGTTGCATGCCGGGAGAAGTGACGTCAACTCCCGGAGCTCTATAGGAACCTCAGCAGCTCCTACCAGGACTCTGGCTGGCCAATCACAGCTCTCTAGAGGGGTTTCAAACACATAAAGAGCTGTGATTGGTCCATAATGGTGGGCCAATCATAGTGCTCTATCTGCTTAGTGAACAAATCACAGAGCTTTATCCGCTTTGTGGGCCAATCAGGGCACTCTATATGCCTGGTGGGTGGGATGATGCGACAGAGTGAAACAAGAGTATGTTACATTCATTGTCCAGTGGAATGTGGAGATCATTTGAAAGACAAAGGTAGAACCCGCCCCACAACCGAGAGCTGTCAATGGAGCATGGCCAGACTAAATAATACATTTATTTAGTCTGGCTTGCCAGGCTATATTAGAGCGTTAATTAAGATTAATTAGAAAAAATAACACGTTAAAATGGACCCCTTTGAGCCCGAACATCCTCCAGTTGGGGGCCAGAAAAGTTTTGCTTCACTGTTTATGTCCTATCTAAAAAAAAAAGCATGGGCTACAACACCATTTTAACCTTTTTTATGTGCTCAAACACAGCTAAAACTACAATTAAAGGAGTCATGATAAATCCCTCTTCAGGAAAGGAAGAAAAAAATCATATTTTTTACTGCTATGTTTTATTGTTGGTAGAAAGCAGACAGGTAACTTTATCCAAATGAACTTTATGGCAGCAGGAGGAACAAGCATACACACAGCATACATCTTGTAACTTTCAAAAGAACTTCCCCTGAACTCTACACTACACCTCTCTATATATTATTAGTGCTCTGCTGCCACCTAGTGTTCAGTTTACGCACATTTACAATGTTCCGTGTCCATTTACACTTCGTTATTAACACATATACTAATATTTACACATCCCAACTAATCCCACAATGGTTACATTTACAATGAGACCAAAGTAATCAAATACACCTTGTGGTTAAAGAAATATACTAAGTGTGGAAATGTTATCTGTGCCTCACTGACATTATTTTAGAAATTTGAATTGCTTGAGCGCAAATTGTCTTGAACGATCAAAATGCAATTGAGATTAATTAATTACAAAACTTCTAATTATTTAGATCTATCTATCTATCTATCTATCTATCTATCTATCTATCTATCTATCTATCTATCTATCTATCTATCTATCTATCTATCTATCTATCTATCTATCTATCTATCTATCTATCTATCTATCTATCTATCTATCTATCTATCTATCTATCTATCTACTGTATCTATCTATCTATCTATCTGTCTGTCTGTCTGTCTGTCTGTCTGTCTGTCTGTCTGTCTGTCTGTCTGTCTGTCTGTCTGTCTGTCTGTCTGTCTGTCTGTCCGTCCGTCCGTCCGTCCGTCCGTCCGTCCGTCCGTCCGTCCGTCCGTCCGTCCGTCCGTCCGTCCGTCCGTCCGTCCGTCCGTCCGTCTGTCTATCTGTCTATCGTCTGTCTGTCTACTTCCCTTGATTGTGTTGATGTTTTTGTATATACAGTATGCAGCGGCACATGATTCCGCTTTACAGAGTGGTTATTGATGACAGTTCCTGTGTTTGTTTTGAGGAGCTAAACGTTGTGCATTGGGTCACTTTTTCTTATCTCAAGTGGGGTAAAGCATGCTGATTGTGACTTTTTTAATGCTACAATTCTTGATAGGAAAAGGTTCTTGCTGCCAAGTATAAGAGACCATATTAGAGCATTTTTATTGGACACGTTTTAAAATGAAATGTTCTTTACTAATTGTTGACCTGAAACTGAAATTTATTTTCAGTTGGTCTGGAAAGTTGTACCTAACTTCTAATTTAAAGATGCGGTTCACACGTTTAATCAACGCAACTCTACCAGAAAACAATGCCGTCCATTTGTTGCAACGCCGTGCCAGCATCAGGGATCTTTAGGTTGTTTATAAATGATCAGACCATGGCAGTAATGTGGCACAATTATGCAATGGCAGTAAAAAGGGGGTATGGGGGCAGTCTCTGCACTGCAGCGGACTTCTGTTTATCTTGGACATAACTTGCTTTTTATTGCGATCAAAGCTGTGCTCATCAAGTTTTTTTAGCAAGCCGCTCCTAAAGATGTCTGTCCTCTACAGTCCTCGTGCAGTCTGTGGTGGTCTGAGCTCTAGCTCTACCGGAGAGAAGCTGCAGGAGTGCTGTAGTGCTCCAGTTTGCCGTCTCCACTGATTCTGTTTACAAAAGCAAAACTTGCGGCCCGTGTTTACTTTCATTTTCAATATAGTTGCCGTTGCAGTAATATTACGCTGATTTGCCGGCAAGGTTTGTCTTGTAAAAGAGGCTACTGACTCTATATGCTTTGCAATGCTATGATTTATCTCCACAAATAACACAGGCCTGGAGTTCTGCTGTGTGGTGGAGTTGCTAATGCTAACAGTTAGCTTCTACTAGCCAAAAGGTGCTCTGCCCTCTCCTGGATGCTAAATCAATAGCCTTCCCTGTTGCAAGTTAAGATGAGTGGGTTTTCTAATCTGAACGTTTCCTTGTCTATTTTATCAGAAGCTAATGCAGGAGATCGGTGTAGGAGACTATTTTCATCTTCATCCTCCTTGACAAACTCAGACTGGCCGAATATAATCAGAAATAATAATTAAGGAATGTTTTTCAGATAAACACCTTTAAAAGACGTTGAAGAAGAAAACATCACCACTTAATAGTTTTGCTAGTTTTGTCCTAACTTAACTTTGTGTAGTTTGATTAAAAAATGATTGAAATATTTTTAAATAAGCCAGTTTTGAAAATTAATAGTGAATCTACTACTATACAGTCTCTTTGAAACATATTAATCAGAAGTAGTTTTATGCATATTACTTACAAATAGAAGAGGAATAAAGTCGGTTTCTGATTTTGAGTAAAATATTCAGAGAAAATTTTCTAGTTTTATTCTTTAATTTCAAGTTTTTACCTTTTGTTCTTCCCACCCTGCACCCTCCCAGACTGGCAGTGTCACGTTTTAACCCCCAGATCTTGGACTCTGGGATGATGCCCCCGGACTGGCTTACTGAACCTGACTGAGACAACACAGACGAACACTCTTCTGATTGTTGCAGCTCCTTTGAGGACAATATCCTGGGATTTTGACTGCTGGTGCACAGATACTTGTTTCAGTAGTTTTGGCAGCAGATGCATATATATCTATATATCTATATCTATATCTATCTATCTATCTATCTGTCTATCTATCTATCTATCTATCTATCTATCTATCTATCTATCTATCTATCTATATATATATATATATATATAGATATATAGATATAGATAGATAGATAGATAGATAGATAGATAGATAGATAGATAGATAGATAGATAGATAGATAGATAGATAGATAGATAGCTAGATAGATATTTGTAGAAACAATGTATAAATACAGATATTTTTATTTGATTGAAGTCGGGCCTAGATCAGACTGTTGCACAGACTAAATCAACACACATTAATTACAGCAAGACAATCAGCTGTGCTAACCTCAAATAAGTATTTGCCGATACTTTTATCTGTAAATTTAGTTTTTTATTCCTCTTCTGCCTCAATGACCGACATAATATTATATACATTTTTTATTATCCAAAAATCAATTTATGTGATATTTATTTAAAATCTCTTTGGCTCACTCAGCACTTGCTGTTGCTGGCCTAACTTTTTTTTTTTTTTTTTTTTTTTTTGAAGTAAACTGTCAGTTGTGAGTTGATGTGTTTGCAAAGCACTGTGGACATCTTAATGTACTTTTTATTGTAACAGCTTTGTATAGAAATAAAATGCATTCATGTTAACATGTTTTTGTATTTTTATACATTTCAAATTGACAAAATCTTGTGTGCAATCTTGCTTTATCCAAACTTTAAACTAGTTCTGATGTGATTAAGGTCATTGTTACATAGTTTAAAGATCAAGTTCACTTGTTTTTAAAATACATTTGCTGTGGTCTCTAGAATAAATGCATGCCTTGTCATTCGATCTCTGAGGAAAAAAGCTCTGGTGCTCCTGTTTCAGGAAGTAAAAGTTTGTCAGAGCAGAGAGGAGCAGAGAATGGCAGGATTTGGGGTCTTCTTCACGATATTCAGACAACTCTTCTCTGATTGTCTAACAGCAATGTGACTAAATCAGTGACTCCGTTTTCTTTGCAACATTGATGTTTTATCTCCACAATTAACACAAGCCTGAAGAAGTTCTGCCATGAGTTGGAGCTAATGCTAATGGTTAGCATCTACTAGCCGAGACATTCTCTGCTCTCTCATCGACATGAGGCTGCACAACTATATGTCTGAGGTAGTTTTCTGCAGTAATGGAACTCCACAGGGTACAGTGCTCTCACCCTTTCTCTTCACTTTCTACACCTCAGACTTCATCTACAACACCAGCAGCTGTCACCTCCAGGAGTTCTCAGATGACTTGGCTTTGAGCATTATCACATTATCAATCATTCAATCAAAGCTTTATCTATAAAGCGCCTTCCGCGACCCTGTCGGGAAGCCCAAAGCACTGAACATGGTACATGAGAAATGTGAAACATGAATAAATCGAAAATAAAAGCAATTCAAATAGTGCAAAGAAGGTAAAACATTAAAGTAGAAGAAAAATGGGTAAAACAAGGGATAAAGAGACCAATGAAAACAGGGAAATAAAATCAACATTAAAGAGGGCCACATTCAAACACGTTCAGGGAACGCCAAGTGGAGGAGGTGGGTTTTTAGGCGTTTCTTAAAGACTGGCAGAGATGGGGACAGCCTAACTGAGGGTGGCAACTGGTTCCAGAGTGACGGTGCTAGCACTGAGAAAGCCCGGTCCCCGCGAGTACGACACCTAGAACGAGGGACAGCGAGCAGGCCTTGGTCAGAGGAACGCAGAGCGCGTGATGGGGAATTTCTGTTCAGGAGTGTGGCTAGATAGGGGGGAGCACCACCCTGGAAGACGAGGAGTTTAAAGTGTGAACGATAACAGACCAGAAGCCAGTGCTTGGAGGCCAGAACTGGACTGATGTGGTCGCGTTTCCTGGTCCCAGTCAGGAACCTGGCTGCGCTGTTCTGCACAACCTGTAGGCGACGCAGTGATGACTGACACAACCCTGCATAGAGAGTTGCAGTAATCAAGCCTAGAAATGACAAATGCATGCAGTACCCGCTCCAGGTGGGCTCTTGACAGCATATGCTTGATTTTTGCAAGGCGTCTCAGATGAAAGAAACTGGACCAGATCACAGAGTTGGTGTGAGCATCAAATTTAAGTCCAGCATCAATTTTCACCCCCAGACTGGTGACAACTGGTATTGAGTAGGGAGAAAGAGGGCCAAGATCAACATAACGACCCACATTCCTGCTATTGGGGTGAAAAAATATAGGCTCTGTCTTTCCCTCATTCAGATGCAGATAATTGGCCATTAGCCAAGACTTTACCTCGTTAAGACGGGACACAAAGGACTGGATAGAGTGACCTTTCTGCTGACACAATGGAGAGTAAATCTGACAATCGTCAGCATAGAGATGGAACGCTAGGCCATGTTTACGAAAGATTGACCCCAGAGGTAGCAGATAAATGGCAAACAAAAGAGGACCAAGGATCGACCCCTGCGGGACTTCCCAGCGGAGCCCCTCCCAAGAGGAAAAAACATTGCCCAGTTTAACACAGAATGTCCTGTTGTGGAGATATGATCTAAACCAATCCAGAGCTGACCCTTTGATCCTAACCCATCGTTCCAAGCGATCAAGTAGAATCGCGTGGTCGACTGTGTCGAAGGCTGCTGTCAGGTCTAACAACAGAAGCACCACAGATGTACCCTGATCTAGTGATAGATAGATGTCATTTAGGACCCTTAGTAGAGCAGACTCTGTGCTATGGCCAGACCTGAACCCTGATTGGAAAACCTCAAACAGATCAGAGTCAGCTAAATGTGAGACCAGCTGCTGATAAACGACTTTCTCAAGCAGTTTTGAAGTAAAAGGCAGGGTAGAGATAGGCCTGTAATTTTCGATTACAGAGACATCAGCACCAGGTTTCTTCAGGGTCGGCCGAATAACTGCTGCTTTCAAAGCAGCTGGGACCACACCTGTGCTGAGGCTCCCATTGATAATCTGACCAAGTGATGGGCCAAGACACAGAAAGGCAGCCTTCCAGAGACGAGGCGGCAGAACCTCAAGTGGAGAGCCAGATGGCTTCTGCCTCGCAACTAGCTTACTCAGCTCAGAGTATGAAACGGTATTGAGGGAGCTCAGGGTGGGTGGTGATGGAGGAACTGGAACAGGGTCAATAGAGTTACCAGAAATAGCTGCTCTAATGCCCGGCACTTTATCAACAAAGAATTTGTGAAAATCTTCAGAGTCTCCAGCAGCTGTAGGAGACATGAAGCTAGGCTCCTGATACACCAGAACAGAGTTCAGTATTTTGTAGAGAATCTTGGGATTCTAAAGCCCTTTTCAGATTGACATTCTGGAATATGTGTGGACAATTCAGTCCGGTTTTTAACCAGAACTGTGTTTTCAGACACACCACTTTTATACCTGAACTTGTCCGTTCGGCTGCCTCCACACAGCCTCCTCCCTGTCCGGAACTCAACCTCACCAGTCTGAAGCAGCCACCCTGTCCGTGACAAGTCCAGTCCTGTTACTAGGGGCTTCGTCCGGTTTAACTACGGAAAAGGTTATCCGGATGTTTGTATTCAGACTTAAAGGTCTTAAGCACAGAGTCCTGAACATTTCCGTTTTTCATGGCCTGTCTGAAGGGGGCTTTAGAGTTTGTTTTGATGATGTCTGCAAAATAGGCAGTTCTGGCAGCCCTCACTGCATCCTGATAAGCAACCAAAGATGCTCTGAACAACTCATGCAAGACCTGTAGGCCATCCTTTTTCAACTTTCTCTCAGAGGCTCTACACGCCCGTCTACAAGCCCATGTGACATCAGAGAGCCAAGGTTCCCTCCTAGGCCTGAACTTGCAAAGTTTGAGAGGGGCAACCACGTCCAGGACCTGATTACAAAGTAAATCAAAGTGTTGTGAGTAGTGATCAACGTTAGATGGATCTGGGTTAAAGGTCTCTAACCTTACAGACATACAGTCCACAAACTTTGAAATAGTTTCTGCATCCAGGGCTCTGAACCTAGTAGCTGGAGCTTCACACACAGGGACAGGACATGGCAACGTAACATCACAGAGTATAGGAGAGTGGTCAGAGAACACAGGAGGCAAAGTCACAAGGTTCATGATGGGGAGACCAAAAGAGAGAACCAGGTCCAGGGTGTGACCCCTGGCATGAGTTGGGGATGATACCCATTGAGCTAAATTGAAGGAATCTAGCAAATTCAAAAAACCTTTAGCAAGCACATTGTCAGGACAGCAGATATGGATGTTAAAATCAAAAAACAGGACATAATCATATTTTAGGATACAGTCTGCCACAATATCACAGAAATCATTAAGGAAGTTAGAGTCAGTCTTTGGAGGGCGATAAATCAGCACAACGAGAAGGCGGGGGGAGATGCACAGTTCAAATAAGCACAGTTCAAAGGAAGAAAATGGCATGGTGGGTGTAAGCTGTTTACAAGGAAAGCTGGATTTAAAAACAACAACCAGCCCACCACCTCTGCTCCACGATCTAGGGATATTAAAACAGGAGCAGACAGGTGGTACCAGCTCCAGCAGGGCGCTTGAGTCACCAAACGGGATCCAGGACTCACAGATGCACAGAAAACTCAAGTCATGTTGAATAAAAAAAATCCAGAAGAATAAAAGTTTTGTTCTGCACAGACCTGGCATTGACCAAACCAAACCGGGTCTGTGGCAGGGCCGCAGCACCGGGATCGCACACGGGCACCGTCTCCTCCGACTCTGAGCCCGTAACCGAGCGTAGATTCTCCCAGCAAACCCCACTCTGGCGAGGCCCTCGAGCCGATTGGCTGTGGCGCGGTGCCAGCTCACCCTCAAAGCCGGCCAAGTTCACAAGGCAGGGCGCAGAGTAGACCATCACACATCTCTGAACCACCGGGTCACAAGCTGGACCGAATCGGACCAGCCTCTTCTTCAGAGATCTAGGAAGTCCAGCCCGATGTCTCACGCGCCGGCTACCTCGCTTTCCCCGTCTTCTACGATGCTTCCTTCTCGAGCTGGGGCGGACAGAGGGCCGACACATCACGGCTTGGGGGGAGAGAGCACACGGGCAGTCCAAACAACAATGCCATCTGTGAGGTTCCCAGCGCGCAGCGCCCGTTATATCAACAGGAGGACAAAGCCTCAGCAGCGCAGCTCA